CTCAGACACACCAGGTCGGAGGGGTCGTCAGCGTCCTGCGGGCAAATGCAAGAGGGCCATCATCCGGTTGATATCCGGGTCGTACACGAAAGTGTACTGCCATTTACCCCCAACATCACATTACACATGACACCCCGCCCATGCACACCTGTGTGCGTGTGTATGTGGGGGAGAGCGGGGGGTAAGGCCCTGGAGCAGCGTTCTCAAGGTGAACGGGCGTCGCACACCATTCAAATCACACGCCAGCTTTTCAAGTTTTGGTTTGAGATGGACAGACAGACGGACATCAAGGCATATCCGGTAACCGTGCCCCGCAAACGCAACTATGCAAACGACGGTATGAAGACACAATGATATGTGTGTGTGGATGGGGTGATAGCTGTAAGAATCAACCCAAGTTCCGGGGCGCTTTCCTTCGCTTCATGACTGCATTCTTACCCCCCCCCCCATCCCAACCCACCCTGTTAACCTACTCTTAACCAACCCAACTCAACCTGCCCAGACCCTAACGAACTCAACCGAACGAACCAAACCAAGACAAGACAGCCCAGCCCACCTGGGCGTCGTGCACGATGTCGAACACGTCAGCACTCAGGTTGATATCAACTCTGGATAGGAGGACACCCGGGCTGAGACCACCTAAGGAACCACCACCAGCAGCACCGCCAGCAGCACCGCCAGCAGCACCGCCAGCAGCACCGCCAGCAGCAGCAGCAGCCCGCCAGCAGCAGCAGCAACCCGATCTCGCGGCTGCGCTGGAGCACGAGCTCGCCGCCGCTGTCGCTGCAGCGGCGGCTGGGCGGCAGATGACGCGGACGGCGGCGGCTGCGGCGGCCACAGAGCCGGATCGAAATGCGTGCGGTGCTTCCATGGCCGTGCACAAGCCCCAAAATGAACTTGACCTGCAGCCAGGAGTCGTACATACACATACGTTATTCAAAGGCAGTAAAGGCCTCATATGCGGCCCGTAGGGCCGTTTGATATTCAATGACGTCTTTGACACGACCAAATTTGATGCCGTTAAAACAAATTTTGGGTTGCAGTAAAACAGGCGTCCTTAACGTTCCCAAGACCACAAAACTGCGGTTGCCGGTGTCTCTGGTCGCGTCGCAATTTGTTCGCTGGTGGTTAGAATCGTTGTACGAGCCGTGGCATGAGCCGTTGTCTGTCATTGCCGACGGCTTTCTGGACATTATAGAAGCTGTAATGCAGTGTATATTGAGCATTTTGCACCTCATATGCAGTGCTGCTTGATGAAGCATTTGGGGTTTTTCTTGGCATGAGAGATCGTTTGTCGTACGCTCGACGGTAAGGGCTTGTCGCACGTTATCGATCGCTCGCGAAGCGCTCCGACTACGAACAATTACACCATTAACAAATTGCATTCAAAGATCTTTGTTTTTGCTGCCCTTGTGTGACTTCACGTGTAGGTGCGGTGGATTTCGCTGCCGCATCGGGCATCCCGCTCACAATATGCCTTTTAGCCCTAAGGCACTCTCTCCATTATTGGGCTGTAGTAGGTGCTATAGCTTAGCTTAGCTGATCAGCGACGCGTACTCTGATATCGACTACTACAGTGCAGCCGCCTCTTGGCAAGAAATGGCATGGCAAGTAAGTCGAAGGACATTCTGTGCGCGCGC